TACATGGCATCCGTTACAGAGTCTTATCCTACAGAAGACTCTACACTGCCGTGTATCGCGTGTTCAACGTGCATTAGTGTGTTGGAATTCTCCATTCGCAGAAACAACATCTCGAGGATGCTCCCTATGTAGTTAATATTCATGACGACCTGTCGAGGAGCTGCTAGAATATCCAGAATCTAGTAGATCCAAGAATAGTATCCGAACCGAAAACGGCTGCTGTTCCTAATTCGAATATTAGTTTTGCATCATTCATTCGTCTGCTTCACATGGGAGGTGATTCTGGATGTGTATTTACAACAGGTTATCACCGAAGGCATCGGATGATAATGGCGGTGATGATGATCGAAGTAGCAAGAGGCCTCGCAGAGGATCGAGAAGTCGCAGGCGGAGCGATGACAGGGCGCTCTCAGGGTATACCTTCTCATTTTTGTTAGTGTATAAATTGGGGCAGAAACATAATAGTTAGAGTGACTCGGCTAAGGCCGACTTTGGGTGGTGCTTGTCAGTGTAGAGGCTATCATTAAGAGTTTGTGGCTTGAAAGGAAACAAAGGAGTGGTATTCACTCTCTTCTGAGTTTATTGCTCTCATTTAGTGCGATGAGTAGTTCTTGACCATACACGAGATGGGGAGGGTTTCGGTCAGGCTGAGTTGTCTTTCAGGTCATCTCCGAATCGCCGAGAAGCGACTACTTGAGGGAATTGTTGTCCCACCACGTATTGACTACCCAGCTGAGGTGTGGAGGGCTGAGTGTGTGAGGACGCTCTCGTGGTGACTTGTAACTGCCTGTTGTTCCTCATGAAGGAATTTCGAATGTATTTGGAGATCGGAGTTGAGTTGTGTACTAAGCTGTTAATTAAGTCGATGGTAATCGACTAAGGGCGGAGGAGTGAGAAAAATTGAACTCGGTCTCTTGAGATTATTGCAGCTCTATACCGTACAGAGGAAATGAATATAATAAACACGATGCGAAATTAATATTTGGCGACCAATTCAAATCAATTAAAGCTGACCGGTGGTTGCATTACTGATGAGAAGAAAATTTCAGGACAATCTTGCGCACTTGAGAAGTCTTGGATTTTCTCAATTGTTCTTTTTCGCCCCCGCAGTTGTTGATTCATCGAGCTACTATCACAATGAAAGGTGGATTCGGCAAAGGAAAGGGTGGAAAAGGTGGAAAAGGCAAAGGTGATCAGAA